CTGGAAAAGATTTCAAATTGTAAAACAGTTGTTGTTGGATATAGTTTGGGTTTAGAAATATTTTATTTTTAGGATAAAAACGTCAAACCTGCAACTAACATTCATGTAACACGCTTACTGAAGATCAGGATCTTCAGTAATCAAGGATCAAAAGAAGTGTTAGCTACGAATACTTTTGACTACTTATGGATTTCGAACCTAATGGTTTGTTAATCAAAATATACAGGTGATAGACTACATTTATTTTACGAGATATCAATTCTGAGGTGTCTGAACTGATCGTAAAACCACACATCAAACTGTTATAAAACAAACTAAATAAAACAACAAAACTAGAAGATTTTCAAGTCGAGAAATAGTGCAGCGTAGCGCGAACGAATGAAATTCATAATAATCCAAACAAATGGACCTGCTTTCGTAATTTTTGTCATCTAGGACTTGACTAGGAGCAATGAATAACTAATTTAATATCCGCAACTAAATCTGACAGCTGTTAGATGAAGCAATTCTCTAGCTGCAGAAGGATTAAATACACACAGCTGAGGTATCAGGAGGTTCATCGGAAATTCCTCCGTTCCACAATCCAGAATGTTTCGGGGAAAAGATTACATCTGGATTGTCGGGGAACCTCCATCTTAATTGGGGACCAAAGTCGATTGAAAATTATCACGCTTAGATTTCGGAGTAATGAAACTGAAGCTTTTCTTGTTAGATGAAGATGACTTGAAATAGACCAATTATGTTAGACAGTGGAAATGACAACAAAGTGTACACTACTACCTAAATTATATAGGTTAATCCTGGAGGAAAAAATGGATCAAATAAAACGTTTGGTCCCTCAGGGTATTAATACTAGTACCCTTAGTACTAGTATTAACAGTACGACCAGAGTAAATTGAACAAAACTCATTCTTTATTGAGGCTAATTTTGGTCCTAATGGTTAACCTCTGCAAAAATAATAATAATAACAAAACAATAACAAAAATAAAATAATGTTTCTAATGGAGTCAATTGCATACTCATCAAAGTTATATTTGATTTGACAATTGAGTCAAATCAGCGTATCAGCGTCAAGTATGAAAAACGTCAAATTATCATAAATCAAACAAAAACCCAGTTTGGTATTAATATGACACGTAACAAAGAAGTGAATTTTATTTAAAGTTGCTGGGAATTTTTACGGGTACATGAACGACTGAGAACAATTGAGTCAAATCAGCGTATCAGCGTCAAGTATGAAAAACGTCAAATTATCATAAATCAAACAAAAACCCAGTTTGGTATTAATATGACACGTAACAAAGAAGTGAATTTTATTTAAAGTTGCTGGGAATTTTTACGGGTATATACAAATTTAGGACAAGAATTAAATCGAATTTACTTGGAAAACTTAATAAAATTACTGTAGTTAATGGTGTCGTTTATTTGGTTAATTAACTGTAAAATACAATACTTATGCGATAAATTTGAGTATGTTGAGGACGGCAATTTTTTAAAGCCCAACAATCTAATTATGTGGTAGGTCTATATAATACCATTAGAGACTTAAACGACTGGTATTACTGAAGTATTTGCCTAATTCTTTTGTTTAGTTTAAGTAGAAGAAAAAAAGTTTAGTTTAGTTTACTGTAAAGTGTTCGATCGTTTAGTCTTATTATACATTATTAAAACGTTCAGAATTTACTTTTTAAATGCAAATCTAGATTTCGTACAGTTATATCGGGATAAAGGATTGCATCCGTTGTTTTAATCACAGTCCAATTTTTTTCACACCACAATGTAGTGATCGTGGCTTGAAAAGAATTGGACCATTTTCATTATATTTTTAATCGCAATCATAAGACTGTGTAAGTGCTTACTCTATTCATAAAACAAAGTCATGAATATTGATAAAGTATGATCTATTCATTTTCTATGTATCCTTTTTAACTATACTAGTATGGTACTGTAGTTTACAACTCAAAAGTTAATTTTCAAATCTACTCTTGTTGGAAATTTCTAAATTTTGAAACTGTAAGTCTTAAATTTTCAGGAGGGTTTCTTCCTTCAGGATTTGTCAATTAACTCCACTCAATTCAGCCACACAAATTAATACTCTGAAATTTTAATAGAAAAGGTTGCAATAGCGAAATAATCTCAGCTGACTAACAATACACATAAACGCTTGCTAACTCGTCCAATTACAAACTGAGGAAACTACCAACAACACATTCTCATGTCGGCGCTGTCTTTACACCAATGAGGAGGAAGCAGAAACGATCGTCCAAATAAAGGAAGTGCTCTGTACGGAGTGCGGACAGAGAGTAACGATTTCGCGGATCCGGACCATAGAGGAAGGAGAATCGCGCGAACCAGTGACCTAATTAATTATCCTTGACAGATCAATTATTGCTCTGTGTGTGCGGTCTTGAATTTGAACGTGATCCGCATTTAATTGTAACGTCGAATTGAATTGTTCGAGTAAAGAGTTTCTAAACTTTACACTTTCTTCTGTTTAGTTTGAGAATCCTTGAATGTTTTTTTAGTAATACCTTTGTCTAATGGATACTGAAGGTAATACTGTACTTGTTGCCTTTGGATGTAATTCTAGAAACATCCGAAAATAAAATCAAGGGTTAGACTTGATGAGATTAAACAAGTAAGTGCGTGAATAGAACCTCTATCCAAAAAATTCTATTTTAAAGAGTATTTGTAAAGGTCCACTAAGAGATAGTTTGGTAAACATACACTTTAAAAAGTGTCTCATAAAATAGGCTACTACACAGGAACATCTATTATTGGCTGCAGATGTTTAATTAGGCATGTGCCGCTTTTCTAGTCAATCAAAATAATATATACACATAAGGATAAAGTACACTCGGTCTAGTCCAAGAGATAGCGACCAAAAGAGGCACAATTTGCATTCCAGTAAAAATTCTAGGTCTCTAATCTTGAATTCTTGAGTGGCCATCTTAAAACAACCAAGTCTGTTACCCAAAAATTCTATTAAATTTTTATAAAATGTCTCAAATTGTCCTATTGGAATATCCTTGTGACCAAGAGCTAAATCCAGCATACCAACTTGTGAATTTCATCACATATAAAATCGGGTGTTTCAAATAAACACTGAATTTGATTAGAGAACATGTTGATTTATGTATGTTTTGCACGTATATTTCAGATGGGAACTCCACCAACATGTAACCTTAAGACTTTTATTTTGTATCCTTTTGGTTCAGTTTTTATTACTAATGGATGAATGTTTTACATGACTGATTTAACTTTTCTTAAGGTCCAGATTGTAATGATCTAAAAGTATAAAAATCGCACTTCTTTTTTATACCTTTCCTTTACAGACCTTTCGTATCTCTTTGATATAAAGCTTAAATAGGTACGATTTTAAGATTGCGACAATGTAATCTACAACGACACGTTGTTTGTTTACATTACCTGATCTTCTTGACCTCTTGGTGACCGATCTCACCAATAAACGCCGAAAACTCGGCTCACTCATTAGTTTTTCATTTACAACTAGCTGTGTGCCCGTTCTACGCATGGGGTTCTTATCATAGTCAGTTAAAACCTCTGTTACAATCACCCACTGCAGTTTTGATTTTTTACTTTACACTTTACACAACCACCATTGAAGCGCCGTCAATGAGTGGAACCTTGTTTCTAAGCTATTGGCGACGATCATTAATAAATTTAAGTTTCCCAGCCCTATACAACAGTGATTCAATGTCTTCTTTCTGGTTATCAAAACTCCAGAACAACTTTATACACAAAGAATCTCTGGTTCCTGACCTAGATGATGCCTAGTTATTTAATGTAATTTACGGTTACTATATTATTCCACTTGCGATTAATTAAATCCTTTACAGTATGTAAGAAAAACGTTTTTAATCTCACTTGGATGGGATTTGCCTTCAAACGTGATCGGAAATGGTTGCGGTATTTGTAAACAACATTTGTAAACATATCAGTTACAGCTAGATAAAATAATCTTGATCCGAACAGCTGTTCGTTATTTCATAGATGATTATGTGATAAAAATTAGACGAAAACTTGACAAAAATCGCACAAAATTGCATTTTTGAACGTCCTTAATTTTATTTTCAAAGTAGTGAGGTCATATTTTAATGGCTAAAGACACTCTCGCCAATTCAGTGAATACATTAAAATGACTTGGATCTTGATAGGTACTCTCGTTTTCCTGGAGAAGATTGCGTAAAATGCCATCTTGAGTGTTACAGACAGACAGACAGACAGACAGACAGCAATTTAGATGAGACTTGTTTCGGCTTCTTTAATGTATAAAACGTAAAAATAACCTAAAAATTTATGATTCTGAGCAATGTACAGACAAAACTCTAATTTTATTTATATAGATTTCAATAAACATTCAAAGTGTGTCCAACTGCGTTGTTTTAAACTCTGCATAAACAAGACAACTTAGAATGACGTTATCCTCGGTAGTTAGTGATGGTCCTTCTTTAGTAAACAACTACAACGAATATACTACCTATTAATAATGTTTAGAAAGCGCAACCATTCACAATTCAAAAATAATATTTGCTTACAAACTCTCCCTCCCGATTTTAACTCTTTGACCCAGAGGGTCTGTGGACACCTTACCACTGCAACTGGGTACAACCCTTAAACTCATGTGAATCTGCCACACAGTTCATACCTAAAAGTCTATATGATTTTTTATAAAAGTCTACCCTTTTCGTATTTTATGAGTTTCAAAAACTAGCCTAACCACCGCCACTGGATGCATACCTTAAACTCAAATCCGTCCCACAGTTAATACCCAAACGTCTATCTGTTTTTTTCTGCTGAAAATGAACACACCGTTTTTGTATTTTATGAGTTTCTAAAAGTAACCTTACCACCACCACTGAGTACATCCATTAAACTGCTCTAAATCTGTCCCACAGTTCATGCCCAAACGTCTATCTGTTTTTCTGTTACAAATATACACACCCTTTTAGATTTTTTCTGAGTTTCCAAAACTAACCTCAAAGAGGGCGATGAGTATCATGGTAAGGGATGAGAAGATGAGGAGCGGCGCCACCCACATGTCCCTCCGCAGATACCCCGTGGCGGGGGGCAGAGGGGGTGGGTCCGAGGACGCAGGGCTGCTGAGGGGGGTGGGCACCAAGAAGTACTCGGTCGTCAGCTCCAGCCGCCCCTGGGAGGCGTTCATCGCCCCCTCCAGGCTCCCCATCATCATCTCACTGCCGTAGTCGTCATCTGGAACATAAGGGTAAAACTCAGCAAGGGAGTCATACACAGTCTGATGTCAAAGTTAAAAGGGAACGAAGTTAAAAGGGGGTGGGTCGCCGGATTTCTACCCCCGGATATTTACCCCCATGAAAAAACGCCTACGTCACTTTGACGTCACATGTATGGGGGTAGATTTCCGGCCGCGAACTTTTAGGATGGATAAATTATTATATATTCAATCAACTCGAATTTCACGGTTTACTTAACAGTTGCAATTAATCAAAATGCTAATAAACCTGACACCGGAACTTTACCCCCGGAAATCTACCCCCAGACATCCACCCCCGGACATCTACCCCCGGACATCTACCCCCGGACATTTACCCCCAGACATCTACCCCCGGAAATTTACCCCAGACATCTACCCCCGGACATCTACCCCCAGACATCTACCCCCGGACATCTACCCCCGGACATTTACCCCCAGACATCTTCCCCCGGATATCTACCCCCGGAAATCTACCCCCAGAATTATACCCCCAGTGGTCAAATCATAAATGTCCGACCCCGGAATTATTTATTTCCGACCCCCGGAAATTTACCCCCTGTGCTACACTACATATCAGCCAATATTCACTGTTGTAGTTGATTTTAGTAATTGGTTTATAAAAATAATCAATGGCTCTTCGTTTAATGATTACCCTCTAATCTATATATTTAATACACAGTTGTAACACTGTTTTCTCAGTAATTACTGGACCGATCTACAAGATTTATGTCTCAAATTAAAGGGGATAGTGTGTAGATTTGCCGAACTTCCTTAGAATTTACGTTTTTTCTAAGGGCTACGACCTACAGCCCTTTAAAGGTCGAGTCAATACAATTCTTATTGAAGAATTTAATACACAGTTTATAAATTATTCGTCAGCTGTTTTAATGTTTGTCAGACATTTGTTATTATTTTTATAACCTCACTTTCAGTATGCAATTATTAAACTTGGAGTTTCTGTTTATAAACACACGATTTTGATCAAGGAAAGTGTATTTGTTAACTTATTTTTTAAATGTTTTTGTTTTCCTGCAAAGTGATCTGAAGGAAAATGGTAATTGAGTTTAAGTTTGAGTATGGAATGTGAAATAATACCAATAGTAGGGAACGGAAACTTATTGTTTTGATCAATATAATTTATTCTCTACGCCCACCAGAATAATCATGGGGAAATCCGCTTGCAAGTTGTACATATAATTGCTAATGAGTGGGAAACATACAAACATTTTATAGTAGGTGACGAATCTTACTCAAGATCAGTGTTAGACGTTCAGTGGTACCAAACTTTACCTTCTCAAGATGGCGAGTACGCTGGGATACGTGGAACTACAATATATCAGTGAATTTTTTTTCAAGTACACAGGGAAGTTGCTTGAGAAACTGTGACTTACCATTCGGTTCTGGCGAAGAAGTATGTGACTTGATGTTTAATGGTAATGTTGACTCGGGTCATTATAGCGTTATAAAACTTTATCATTAACCCCAGGGTGTGAAAAGTACAAAAAGAAAAAGAAAAGGTAATCATTAACCGGGCCTAAAGAGACATACCGAACGAAAAAAATTGTAGAGAACCATCGAACTAAAAAGATAAAGAGCGATGTTGGTGTAAAATGTGCTCTGGGAGTCCCTACAAAAAAAAACTCTTTTGAATTGGGGTCGTTAGATTGGATTTGTCACTACTTCAAATCTATGAATTTCGAGTCAGAACAGACTAACTGGGACACAGAAATGTTTTAGTTTTCCTGCAAAGTGATCTGAAGGAACGTGATAATTGAGTTTAAGTTTGAGTATGGAATGTGAAATAGTACCCATATAAGGGGACGGAAACTTATTGTTTTGATCAATATAATTTATTCTCTATAGCCACCAGAACAATCATAGTGAAATCCGCTTGCAAGTTGTACAGATAATTGCTAATGATTGGTAAACATACAAACATTTTATCGTAAGTGATTCATCTTACTCAAGATCGGTGTTCGACATCCAAATTTTACCTTCTCGAGATGGCGAGTACGCTGGGATATTTGGAACTACAATTTATCAGTGAACTATACCCTAACTATATTTTTTCGAGTAGGCCTACACAGGGAAGTTGCTTGAGAAACTGTGACTTACGATTTCGGTTCTGGCGAAGAAGTATCTGACTTGATGTTTGGCAATGTTGACTCGGGTCATTATAGCGTTACACAACTTTATCATTAACCCCAGGATGTGAAAAGTACAAAAAGAAAAAGAAAAGGTAATCATTAACCGGGCGTAAAGAGACATACAGAACGAAAAAAAATGTAGAGAACCATCGAACTAAAAAGGTAAAGAGCAGTGATGGTGTTAAATGTGCTCCGGAGGTCCCTTCTAAAAATACCAATTTTTTGAATTGGGGTCGTTAGATTGGATTTGTCAGTACTGCAAATCTATGAATTTTGATTGAGTCAGAACAGACTAACTGGGACACAAATATTTTTTTCTTATGTTGTCACAAGGGGAAGGTATAATGAACTCCTTATCAACATTTTGAGTTTAAGGAAAATCTTATCAACAGCGACTATAAAAAAGTATTAAGGGTCAAAAGAGACAAAAAACTATTTGAGTAAAATATAATACAAATCTGCATTTGAAATGGCCAGTTCTAAGTCTCACTTGAATCAACATCTTTCTGGTAGTGGTAGTCTACATAGTTTTAAAATCCACGACTCCTTTTCCATCAAATTGGACCATGAATACCCTCTAACATTGAACAAAGTATGACCAAAGTTATATATACGACGTAAACACAGCTTTTACTCACAGTATGGGTCAAAGATTCGTGTAATGTGACCAACTGCTGATGCGTGATTTACATGTAGGCTAAGTGACTATCTTTATTCCATACAACAAATGTAATGAAAAAAAACGACGAATATAGGACTATACTTGAACAAATTATCTAAATATCATAAATAGCTGCTTATTAGGTTATCAGCATTGCCCAGTTCATATACTATTTATTTTTCAAATGAAACTCGAATTAATATAAAACATTCATTTGGTTAAAATAATATATCGGTTTGATTAACATGAAATAGTTTATACAGGCAAACTATCAGTTCTATTTCATGTAAAAATTAAACAACCCCTAAATAAAATACAAAGCTAAACAGTATTTGTTAATTATTATTTCTTTTATTGCTGACAATATTCCCGTGGCGGAGCACGGGTGGTTAACTAGTATCTAATATTAAGCATGTGATATGTCGTTGTCTTGTTTAATGTCATCTATCTTCCCAATTCATTAAGCTGTAACTGATTTAGGTGTCATTTTTAAGCTTAAGATTCAGTGCAACGCAAATGGTAATTAAAAAGGATATTTTGATAAAGGGCTCCAAAAGTTTAACCCATAAGCATTTGATTTATTTTCAGACAGTGATTTAAATGGTTAACCAATTTTCACATACACTCATAGCTAACGGCACATGTACGGGCGCAGATCGTGAAATTTAAAACATATCACTGAAGGAGGTTATTTTCTGACTACTAGTGGTAAAAATGCAATTAAATGTTGATAAAAAGCCTGCCACAGGTTTATTAATGAATTATAATTTTTTCACTATCAATTACCTCCTAGTAATACGAAATAGCATAATCCCTATGTCGTAGACACTATCCGGAGTTTTACATTGGCTAAAAAGTCTAGTTCTTTACACAAATAATTAACCGTAAAAAATAAAACATAAACATATTTTATGATTGGTTCTGGTTGTCAATGCTGGTTGTGAAATAACGGAGAATAATGTAAAAGAATAAAATTGGATATTTCGGGATAGGGAAGGTATTTTTACCTCATGTTTCTTTTGGTTTTACGAATTTATTTTAATGAAATTAGAGTTTAGTATGAACATTGCTTAAAATTATATATTTTTTGTTCATTTTTACGTTTCATACATTAAAGAAGCCATAACAAGTCTTTATCTCAATTTCTGTCTTGTCTGTCAAGGCCCAGAAGGCATTTTACGTGGCCTTCTTCTCAAAAACTAGAGCATCGATCGTGATTCGATTTAAATAGTCTTTGGATTCGGTGGTTGACACGAGTAACTTAAGCCATTAAAATATGGCCTCACTACTTTTGGATTAAAATAAATTTTGTTCAAACCCCCAATTTTTTGCATTTTTGTCAAGTTTAGGCTACTCCTAATGTTTACCAGTAATTTATGAAACAAGTTTCTACGCCCAGCCGTTCTCTCAAATTAGTGGGGACAAAGTTTCCAATTAAATATTTAGAATCCCCCATGTTAATCTTATGGGAGAAACTCCAACTTTGATGGCCTGTGGGGCAAAGCCCGAGGATTTTTATTACAGGAATTTGTGAAAGGGGGCGTCTACACAAAAAATACTTTATTTTGACACGTCGTTTGTAAAAATCCGTCCATTATTAACGGAGGAGTAGTGTTTTGTAGAAATCGCCTTCACGTATTATATATAAGGATACTAATAATTTGTTTGGAGAATACGACATCAATGAAATAACGAACAGCTGTGAAAGGTGAAAAGCTGGATAAAGATGATTTTTTCTAGCTGTCACTGGAAATTTGTTATTACATTTTGTTTACAAATACTGCAACCATTTTCGATCACGTTTTGTAATAATATCAAAAACCAAGTAAGATTAAAAACGTTGTGACTCACGTAAATAAACGTATCAAATAAATCGTAAGTGCAATAATATGTAACTAGTGTACATGTTGCTCGAATTCGAGCAATTTCGAAGTATTAAAGGAGCTATTTCAAAATGAATAACAATGAATATTTAAAATGAGTTTAAATGAGCCAACTCAAAGATTACCAGTGTGTAACGTTGGTTAGTCTATGGTGTAACTAAACCCATATTTATCTTCGTTATTGATAAACCTAAAGCATTCGTCCGGCCGGTTTTCTCCTTCTCAAAATGCCTCGCTGTACAGGCAACACAGGTTATTGATAGAGGCCAATTGAGAACGAAAAGTCG